CTGGGTTAGGAAAGCAACTGATGCAATTTGTTTTCAAAGCCTTAAAAATGCTGCAGCGTGCATAGATCACAAGGACCAGCTAAGTGCCAATGCACGGGGCATTAATTTCTTTCGGAGAGGATTCCAGGTTCACAGGATATCAGAAGTGCTGACTTGGCAGTGAAATCCCATTTGTAGCATGTTAGATTAGGAAACAGATTGATTTATATGTTGATGTAATGGATCAAGGCGCAGAGTGTGCTTAAGGAAATGGAGGGCACATTAAATAAGAGCATTTTCAGAGAAGTACCAACATTACAGAAAAAATTATCCTAGGTAAGGTTGGGGCATGTTTGATTAGTTGATTCCTAGACATGGTCCACAGAGGCTTTTTATATTTCAGATGATACCTTCTTGAGAGTCTCTTATGACCACAGGATTAATCTTTCTGAACTCAGAAGTGATTCACTACAGCCTATTAGCTGTCTGGATTGATTCCAGTTACTGTAGTTTTTCTTGGTGGGAGCTGATGTGAGGATCTGTTGCTGCTTAGCTGCCTCTTCCTGTTGCTTTAACCTCTGGTATTTTAGATTCTCTTTGGGGAAGGTAGTGCTGACCATCTCAGCTCAGAGATCAAATGCACTTACCACTAACGTGTTGACCTCAGTGGTTGACCCATAAAGTGAACATTTATACAGTTGGAACTCTTGTGGTCTTTTAGCCAACAGCCATAATGAGTAACATGTGGAACATAATCTTTGGTGTTGCTAAGTGGCTGCCTGCACTGACTGCCCACTCCTCAGCTGTGGCTTAGGTGAGCTCACATAACTAATTAACATTGTTCCTTACCTGTATTCATATTTGGAATTCAAGGAGTAATGGTTCCTTCCCCCACCCTGTACTTCTGAAAGATCAGATACCATACCTGAAATCCTGTTTGTTTAGTATCTGCTTTTAATGTTAAAATATACAAGACTATAGAATTTAGGAAACACTGCTCAGAACCTTTCGGATTTAACTGCAGTGGTAGTTAATTTATAATAGGTTTAGGAAACATGTTCCTTTTGAACTGTCAGTTTGGCTTTCTAATGTATTAGGTAGGTGCAAAAGTAATTGTAGTTTTAGCATTATTGAAATTTGACATTTGATATTGGAATACATTCTTAAATAGATGTTATGTTATATATCATTTGAATGTGCTTTTTTTTTTTTGGAGACAGAGTCTCACTCTGTTGCCCGGACTAGAGTGCCATGGCATCAGCCTAGCTCACAGCAACCTCAAACTCCTGGGCTCAAGCGATCCCTGCCCCAGCCTCCCGAGTAGCTGGGACTACAGGCATGTGCCACCATGCCCGGCTAATTTTTTCTATATATTTTTAGTTGTCCAGCTAATTTCTTTCTATTTTTAGTAGAGATGGGGTCTCGCTCTTCCTCAGGCTGGTCTTGAACTCCTGAGCTCGAACGATCCACCCGCCTCAGCCTCCCAGAGTGCTAGGACTACAGGCGTGAGCCACCATGCCCGGCCTTGAATCTGCATTTCTTGCTTTATGTTTTTTTTGCTAGTGACTTATTACTTGCTGTTTATTTTACATTTATTTTAGACTGTGGAAATGACGTTAGACAAAAAGCAAATTCTAGCGATTTTCTTATTCGAGTTCAAAATGGGTCGTAAAGCAGCGGAAACAATTCACAACATCAGCAACACATTTGGCCCAGGAACTGCTAACAAATGTACAGTGCAGCGGTGGTTCAAGAAGTTTTGCAATGGAAATGAGAGCCTTGAAGATGAGCAGTGCAGTGGCCAGCCATCAGAAGTTGACAACGACCACTTGAGAGCAGTCATCAAAGCTCATCCTCTTACAGCTACACAAGAAGTTGCTGAAGAACTCGACGTTGACCATTCTGCGGTCATTTGGCATTTGAAGCTAATTGGAAAGGTGAAAAAGCTCAATAAGTGGGTGCCTCATGAGCTGACTGAAAATCAAAAAAATTGTCATTTTGAAGTGTTGTCTTATTGTATGCAACAACAAACCATTTCTCGATCGGATTATGACCTGCGATGAAAAGTGGATTTTATATGACAACCAATGATGATGACCAGCTCAGTGGTTGGACCAAGAAGAAGTTCCAAAGCACTTCCCAACACCAAACTTGCACCAAAAAAGGGCCATGGTCACGGTTTGGTGGTCTGATGCCAGTCTGATCCACTACAGCTTTCTGAATCCCAGCAAAACCATCACATCTGAGAAGTATGCTCAGCAAATCGATGAAATGCACCGAAAACTGCAACGCCTGTAGCCGGCATTGGTCAACAGAAAGGGACCAGTTCTTCTCCACAATGCCCAACCTCGCGTCACACAACCAACGCTTCAAAAGTTGAATGAATTGACCTGTGAAGTTTTGCCTCATCCGCTATATGCACCTGACCTTGCCAATTGACTGCCACTTCTTCAAGCATCTCAACAACTTTTTGTGGGGAAAATGCTTCCACAACCAGCAGGATGCAGAAAATGCTTTCCAAGAGTTCTTTGAATCCCAAAGCACGGATTTTTATGATACAGGAATAAACAAACATATTTCTCGTTGGCAAAAATGTGTTGATTATAATGGTTCCTATTTTGATTAATAAAGATATGTTTCAACCTAGTTATAATGATTTAAAATTCATAATCCAAAACTGCAGTTACACCAACCTACTGCGTATTTATCATATCTTCTTGAATTGTCTTCATTTATTTCTATCCAAGCTTTTGAAGTAGGAAGCAGAGTATTTGGGGAGAGTGCTGGTTTTGGTATACGAAAGTGTCCCAGGGGCTTCTTTGCCTTTATCTCCATATATACCAATTTTTTTTCTCATGTAATCCAAGTTTGTAGCTGCCCATAATCCTAAGATATGGATCAAAAAAGTATGGCCAAAAGGGGCAGCCTTTTGGTACACATCTTGAACTCAGTGTGAAAATAATCACATTTGTCGGGTACATCTTTTATACCTTTTAATGATTTGTTTGAATGAAGCACCATTAGATTATTACCTATGAAGAAGTGTATGTTCCTTTCTACTGATACCTTTAAATGTTTTTTCCTTCTTTGGAGGAAGCTAGAATTCATATCCGTCTGTAGCTTCATATGCAGTTATACTGAAGGTGTAGGGCTTCCTACTTTAACAAGTAATTATTTGTCACAACAGGACTACAATCAGTTCTACTTAAAAGAGGTGCTAATTGTTCGTCGGATTTAATTGAGGTGGTTTTTCAACCCTGATAGATATTGGCAACATTTTACTTCCAAATTAGCTTTCTCCCAGCTATCCAACAAGTGTTGGTGCATCCTTCTCTTATATTAGTAGAAAGCGGGCTAATTTTAATAATCTCCTAAGCAAAATGTATGTTGGATAGTAAGTTTGTCTTGGAAAAAGATCATTATATATTTCAAAATCAAATTGAAGTTCCTAATGGGAAGGATTACTCATGTCTATGTAGTTCATTGGCACAAGTAAATGAAAGTTGCCTAGAAAAGCATACATTTTCCGTATATTTAAAAAGGCAAAGCTACCCTTCGTTGTTAATAGGAAAACTGTTTTATGTTTATGCTCTCTTTAAAAAGAATAACAATGGACCATATAATCTAAACCTCCCACACAAGTTTTACATTTTGAAAAACTTTTTCATTTGTATTTTGAAAGAAGTTTTGCATTATAGGATGCTACAAAACTCCAGTATGGTTGTAATCATTACTAATGGCACATTACTAGCTGCAGAGATGCCTTTGCTTTTCTAGTGCATGATACTTGACAGGAGCCTTACTGTCATAATTCCTAAATGTTATTTCTCACCTGTAATTTCTGAGCTGTTAGTGCTTAAGATTTCTTCACAAAAAGGATGATACTGACCAAAGAAAGCCTTCATAGAATATTTGATGATTTTTACCCAACGCGAGATAAAATTGTTCATGAAATCTCTTTTAGTGTTTCATTTCCATAAATGATGCCATCACATATTGAGTAATGCAGGCCAAATGTGACATCTTCCTCATCCCTCATATCTAATCTTTGCCCATTTTCTTCTTTCTGATCTCTTGAACCTCCCTTTCTACCCTACCACCTTAGCCCAACTACCATTATCCCTCTCTTGGACTGCAGTTCCAGCTTCCTCAGCTGTTTCCCTGAATGCCCTCTTGTTTATCCTTTAAGTTGGTTCTTTACCTTCCAACCAGAGAAAGCATCAGAGCTGCATTTTGAAAATAATAACTATGTGCTTAAAACTTCTCAACACTCCCAATGATAAGTACTAAAATCCTTCCTTTGTCTATAAAAGTCTTGTCCCTGTGTGCCTCTCCACCATCTCTCTACCGCACGATCTCAACAGTCTGTCCACATGGAAGCTTAAAGGGTTGCTCAGATTTCATTCTCTTTAGGAAGCTTCCCTGATGACCTACAAGCTTAGTCAGATTCCTTTTTATATGCTTTTTCAGCATTGTGTTCTTTTCCTTCTTAGAACATCTGGGAATGTGATCATACCTTTTTGTGTGTGTGTTTTGACTCCTGCATTAGAGCCTAAGAAAGTGGGCCATGACTTTTTCTCTTGTATCCTAAGCATTTAGCGTACTGCTTTGCAAAATAGTAGTTGCTCAATAAAATTTTCTTGTGTGAGTAAATTAAAATTATTGGAACTGTAGTCATTCTCTACATTCATGATTTGGTATACGAAGGAATGGAAAGTAGATTTGCTTGCACTACAGCAGACTGCAGTCGCGTTATAGATTGTCAAGTTAAAAGTATCCCAGATGAGGAGTGTGGGGTTAGATTTCTTCTTGACCTTTCGTTTTGGTCATATATGTTGAAAGATCTGGGGTTTTTTTTGTCTGTTCCAACTCCTGGAAATAGGATTTGTTTATCAAGATAAAAATAGTAAATAATAAAGATTTTTAAAACATCAGTTTTATCACAGCACCGCTGAATGAATGACTGTGCCTTTGTGCCATCCTTTGTGGAGTAAACCTGGAATTTTTTCCCCGTTTGGTAGGCTCTTGCAGCCAATGCCGGAACAGGATTTGCTGTTGCTGAGCCTCAAATTGCAATGTTTTGTGGGAAGTTAAATATGCATGTGAACATCCAGACTGGGAAATGGGAACCTGACCCAACAGGCACCAGGAGCTGCTTTGGAACAAAAGAAGAAGTTCTGCAGTACTGTCAGGAGGTAAGAGTGTTGCCAGAAAGTTAAAACCACTTTTTTTCTGGGTCAGGGTTGAACCTGTTTACCTTAGAAATAGATATGCTGTCATTCTTCAATTTTGACCTAAGACCAAAATGCTAATGGCTGGAGCCCCAGGCCTTTTGTTTCCAAATGTGTGGTGTGATTGAGACCTCCCAGAGGCTTTCCCTGTGTGCACTGTGAGCTCTCAGTTCTCTAACGAAGGAATACTGCAGAAGCTTGGCAAGTACCATGGAAGCACAGCCCGGTTCTCTTGTCTTCCCACTTGCCCTGGGGAGATGGAATGCAAAACAAGTCATGGGTATGCTTGTGTTTTCTACTTACGGATAGAAAGCCACCAGTATTGTAAATGATCATCTTAGGTCTGATTCAACTTTTGGGCCAAAAAGAAAAGAATATGATACAACTTCTTACCAAGACTAATATATGGGTCCAGGAGTCAAATATTGTTCTAATAATTTCATTAACAGTCATTTCTGTAGACGTGCCTCTTGAGTGTTCATAAACTCAGAGATTTACACATACCCTACAAGCAAACTTGACACCTAATGGATTTGTTTTGGGCTAAAATCTTGCTGCTTTGGCTTGTCCTTAAATACAAATTCCTTTTTAAAAGTGTTCAGAAATCTAACCTGTCAAAAGAAAACTAACAGTTACAGTATCTTTTTACTAGATGACTTCAGTTGAAACCAGGGGTAGCAGAGTGGAACTTGAGATTTTTATAGGATAAGGGTGGAGGCTGAGTAAACTTAGACACACTTATCCTCACTTGCAAGTGAATATCCATCTGCATATCAATTTATGTGTGTATATTTTCGCTTCGTTAACAGATGTATCCAGAGCTACAGATCACAAATGTGATGGAAGCAAATCAACCAGTCAGTATTGACAACTGGTGCCGGAGGGACAAAAAGCAATGCAAGAGTCACATTGTTATACCTTTCAAGTGTCTCGGTAAGTGTTCTTGGTTACTTTTCAGGAAGTTCTCTCCCTCCCATTTTTAAATTTAATTTTCTCTTGGCTCACAGTGAAAATAGCTGCATGTGTTAGAAGCTGATAGCTGCAGGAATTTGTTGGGAGAATTTCTCTTTTGGGTATAGACTGCTTCCTAGTGTCCATAGCTGACCTCTTTTCAGTGATCACTCACTCTGCCATTGTGAAAATCCTTCTGTCTTTTGAGGGTGAGCCTTTTCCATGGTACCGATTAAGAGTGCTACCCACAGAGCAATCCAGCTTTACCCTCACATTAACAGTTTGAAATTAATGCTGTACAGGAGTGGTACTGAAGAAAGCAGACCAAGGAAAAGAGCCTTTTGTTCCCCGTATTTCACTCTATACACATTTGCTCTGTTAAACCAAACCTCTGGTAGTTTTCAGAAGGAAAATTGACTCACAGCAGCCTGTGGACAGTCCAGAGTGCCAGGGCCAGGTCCTACGGGACCTGCCCTCTGAAGAACATGGGGCTGGGAAGAGTATTTATGATTCCGTGTTGCTAGTGGTAACTTTCAAAGCCAACCTGAGTGAGACTGTAACAGTTTATTAGCCGGAAACAGTTGTTGCCTCAAATGCTTAGTGAATGTATTTATCCTAACCACTCATCACCTTGACACATCTGAATTACCTCGCATCACTGAACTGTGGGTGATTCAGGAGCAGATTTGGTCACAGACACTTAAAAGGGCAAAACAGTCGATTTTAGATTATCCATGATAGGATTAACGTAGACATCCTGAGTAGTTTTGTAGATATATCAAATTGGAGCTTTTAATTTAACTTATTCCCTTCCCTCCCTTCATTAAAAAAACCTCTCCTTAAACTTCAGACAGCTGCAGAATGGAATATGTTGCTTTTCTCATTCTCACATGCAGCGAGGACTCAAAAACAGGAAGAATCAGCCCCTGGATAACAGTATTTAAAATACTTAGCAATGAACTTTGCTTCAAAAGCATTCATAAGGGGAAAGAGGGACATTGTATGTGCTTAGCACCATTTATTTTAAAACTGAGCATCTTACAGTAGCGAGAGATTTGTTAAAAATTTTATGTGATGTGGTTTAAAGATGTTCTTCCATTCCATTTAGCTCTGAGAAATCTCGGGGTATGAGGTTTCATTTATTCTTCATAAAATTCTCAGACTATAAGTGAAACAAGACATTGTTCTTGAGTATTCGTAGACAATAGAAAGTGCTGAAAATTGTTTCTTCCTTTTGCGTCGCTGTCCCTTAAGAATTGGCAGCCTGATCTTCTGTTTGTTCTTGCCACTTGCTAGCTCCACCACCCACCCGTACATCTGAGTGGGACCTGGGCCATCTCTGATTCTTCAGTTATTCTTTATCTCCCTACATCCAGTCCGTTTTCAGCCAGCCTGATTTTTACCTCATAATATGGCTTATAGCTGTGATTCCCAAACTTGAGGCACCCTGCGGCATTGCAGGATGTTTTTGATTTTTTAAGGGAACATAGTGACATCCGTCAGGCATTCCACAAACTACTAGCTGGAGGTAGTTTGCAGTTTCAACATGAGATCATTGCATCTCTTTTGATGATTTCCTGTCTTTGTGAAGCTGTGTTTTCAGTGGTTCCTGTGATAAAAAGCAAGTACCCCATGAAAATCACTGTAGAAGAGGAAATGAGGGTGATGATGTTCAGCCTGATTGTAGGGTCGGGGGAGTTGTGCAGGGCCCAGCAGGCACTGAGGTGATAGGACACAAGTACTTATTAAGTTGTTGGACCCAAATACTTAACTTTTAGGGTTGTTTTTTTTTTTTGGCCTAGGGGTGCTGTGAAAAAATTACTGGGACACTCAGGGTGCTGTAAATCAAGAAAATCTGGGACTCTCTGGCTTGTGTCCTCCTCCGCCATGAAATTCCCATTGCCCTAGTTCAGCCTTGGGCAGTTCTTGTCCAGGCTATGATGGCAGCCTCCATGCCTGTTTCTCAGTTCTGTTGTCTAATTGAATCGTGTCTCTCTTGTGCATAAAAGCCTTTAGTAGCTCTTCTTTACTTAAAAAAAAGATGGTGAAGCTCCTTAGTGTGGCTTAACCCCATAATCTGGCCCTTGCTTAACTCTGCCCAGTTCTCTACCACTCCGCCTCATCAGCATCCACCACCTTGGGGAGCCTGGCCACATGGCATCCAGTTCTCAGAGTTTGGAATGATTTCTTCTGCTTGCTTTGCTTGGGAAGTTCTTCCTTTAAGACTTACCTCAAGGGATGAAGCCTTCCTGGTCTTATTTTCTATCCAGATATCCAAGTTTTTGTAATACTTTTTGCTGTTGGCATTGCACTTACCACACGGTACAATGATTGTTTGTTAATAGATCTTTCTCTAACTACACTGTAAACACCTTGAAAGCACCTGTTTTAGTCGTCTTTGTCCCCTCAGTACCATGACAGTGCCTAGAATATAGGATATACTATTTACAATGATTACAACACAAGACTGCTACCATAGGCAAAACACGGTGGCTCACCCCTGTAAACCCAGCACTTCAGAGGCTGAGGTGGTAGGTTTGCATGAGTCCAGGAGTTCAAGACGAGCTTGGGCAACATAGCAAGACCCTGTCTCTATTATTTAAAAAGAAAAAAAAAAGAATGCTACCAAAATTGGTACACAACAGAAATTTCATTTTATTGCTTTATTTTCTAAATGCTGTAGTTTACATTTTTTAAGTATGTTACAGAACCAAACAATGAAGTGATATTGTCATTAACTAAACCGTTCAGTACCTTCTTTGCATTGTGGTCAATGAATAAAACATTATACAGTCTTTGGTGTTAGTTAATTCAGACAGTTATTTGCGTTTGCCCCAGCATCCATTTGGACAACTTCCTAACCAGTAAGTAGAGCTATCCATTGGTATTTGGTAAATAAGTACAGTTGCCTGAGCATGAACTAATAAGGGACAAGGTGGCTGGAGTTTAAAAGAAGGGAGTAGGAAAGAAATACCGCGAGTTCTTCCTTGTCATCATTTAAAGTTCTAATGTCTCGAGGCTGGGCGCGGTGGCTCACGCCTGTAATCCTAGCACTCTGGGAGGCCGAGGCGGGCGGATTGTTTGAGCTCAGGAGTTCGAAACCAGCCTGAGCAAGAGCGAGACCCCGTCTCTCCTAAAAATAGAAAGAAATTAATCAGACAACTAAAAATATAGAAACAATTAGCCGGGCATGGTGACGCACGCCTGTAGTCCCAGCTACTCGGGAGGCTGAGGCAGAAGGATTGCTTGAGCCCAGGAGTTTGAGGTTGCTGTGAGCTAGGCTGACGCCACGGCACTCACTCTAGCCTGGGCAACAAAAGCGAGACTCTGTCTCAAAAAAAAAAGTTCTAATGTCTCTCTGCTCCTTCCACAGTCACCTCCCCTTTGAGCACCCATATAGAACTGACATTGGTTAATTATCAGCACCACCTTCTTTGGACTCCTTAGAGGCCATTTGATGATAGTCTTAGAGTTGCCTTTTTAAACTAAAAAATACACTTGTAATCCTAGCACTTTGGGAGGCCAAGGCGGGAGAATTGCTTGAGGTCAGGAGTTAGCAACCAGCCTGAGCAAGAGTGAGACCCTATCTCTACAAAAAATGGAAAAATTAGCCGAGCATGGTGGCACATGCCTGCAGTCCCAGCTACTCAAGAGGCTGAGGCAAGAGGATCACTTGAGCCCAGGAGTCCGAGGTTGCAGTTAGCTATGATGATGCCACTGCACTCTAGCCCAGGCAGCAGAGCGAGACCCTGTCTCCAAAAAAAAAAATTTCAAAGTTACAGAATGGTTACAAAAATAGGACAGAGTTCCTGTATACCCATTACCCAGATTTCAGATTTTCCAACTGTTAACATTTGACTGGTGTGGTGAAATTAATCTTATTAATATAACTCCCCCCCCCCAACACACACACATCCTCTCTCTCCTGGGTTTTTTGTTTTTGTTTGTTGTTTTTTGAATGATTTGGTAATACATTGCAGATAGTGCCCTTATTTTATTATTATTTCAGAATTTTGACAGGGTACGTATGTTTTGGTTACGTAATTTTCTTTTGTACAGTTTGAGTTATTTTGTACAGTTGAGCCCTTCAGTTAGTGTGTATTGTACCCGTTAGGGGTGAATTTACCCATCCCCTCCTCCCCTCTCCCACCTACTTTATTTCCCTTGAATTTTATTTTCATGTGTGCACATAACTGTTAATCAGTTAAGTCCAATTTAGTATTGAGTACATGTGATATTTGTTTTTCCATTCTTTTGATCAGATAGTGTCCTTACGCCTTAATACTACGTTGTGTATTGTTTTGAAATGAGGAAATTCTCCTATTTAACCGTAGTATAATCAAAATCAGGATTCTGTAGACAATACCCAGTTGATCCAGTAGCTAATCTACAGACCCTATTCAAGTGTCCCTGTTGTTCCGGTAACATCCAGGATGTAATCCAAGACGCCATGCTGCATTTAGTTCTCTCTTTAGTCTTTCCTTGTCCTTCATGACCTTCGTATTTTAAAAACTACAGACCAGATACTTTGTAAACTGCCTTACTATTTGGATTTGTCTGTGATCCTTTTGATTTATGCAGTTTTAAGGGGAATATCGCAGAAGTGCTCTCGTTGCATCGTATTGGGATTTGTGTGATGTCAGTTTGTTCTGTTACCACTAGTAACTTTCATTATCTGGCTAAAATGGTGTCTGCATTCATTTATTTATTACATTATATACTCACCGTCTGGATTTGGCCTGTGGGAGCCCTTCGTGCTGGTTCCTCTATCCTTTTCACATGTTTCTTTCATTCTTTGAGAACTTCCTTTCTTGTACAGAAAGGATGCTCCAGGCCTATCCTGTATTTTCCCTACTCCACCCCCAGAGTCTATGTCTCCAATAAGCCTTGGTTTATTTTAGTGTGCTGCTACTTAGGACTGCTACTTAGGAACCATGCTTACTGATGTTATTGCTTCTAGGCCCATTCAACAAACAGAACTA